GTTTCTGGAGTCACTGGGCCGGGAGTCAGTGGTTGCTGTCTCCCTGGGCCAGAAGTATCTTTTCCCCAGCTGGAGCTGATTTCAGCATTGTTGGCTTTATGAGTTTTGTCCTGATGTGGGAAGTTGTGCCAAGTATCCTTGTGGCTGTCACTCCTGCATCCTTGGTGTCCCCTCTGAGCAGGAGCTCCTTCTCCCCAGGCTTTGTGCACCTGCCCGTGGCTCTGACATCGCTGTGCCTCTCAAGCCCTAATCCTCAGCCAGGCCATTCTCCGGACAGGGAACTCATGTCCCTGACACCTGGACATCAAAGCCAGCCGTCACCTGCGGGGCCCAGCCTGGCGCTGGCAGCGGGCACCGATTGTCCGGCCGTGCCCTCCGCAGGGCCAGCAGAGCAGCGCCCGCAGCGCCCGCAGCGCCCGCCTGAAGCGGGACGGGCGTTTCTGGGGGGGAGCCGGCTGCTCCCTGAGGGCCTGGGCTCCTGGCTGGGGAGCTGAGGGGCCTGGGGGGCAGCAGGGGCTGTGTGGGGCAGGGCCCTGGCTCTGTGACCCTGCTGCCTTCACCTGCCCAGCCAAGGCAGGAGAAGCTTCTGCCATGGCCGAGTCCTGGGGAGCAGCGTCGGGGTCCTGCAGGAGCTGTGGGTACTTGGGGTTGATCCAAATGGTGCAGATGGTGATATCTTCCCAACCCTTCTGTAACTTCTCTCTGTCTCTCCTGTGTCCCCTTTGGGACAGCTCTGGGTCTTGTCTGACTTCCTTCTCACACAGCTCGTGGTCAATGGAGCCTTCCCACTGGGAAAGCTCATGGTATCTCTCATATTCCCACTGGTAAAGCTTTTGGTCACTTTCATCTCCCCATTGGGAAGGCTTCTTGTGGCACTCATATTCCAATGGGAACAGTGTGTGGACACTCACATCTCCCCACTGAGAAGACTCCTCATGTCTATCATATTCCCATTCATAGAGCTTTTGGTCATTCTCATTTCTCCACTGGGAAGACTCCTGGTATCTTTCATATTCCCATTGGTCCAGCTCTTGAACACTCTCATTTTCCCATCGGGAAGCCTCCTTGTGTCTCTTACATTCCCAAGGGAATGGTTCTTGGACTCTCACGTCTCTCCACTGGGGCAGCCCCTGGTGTCTCTCATATTCCCACTGGTCCAGCTCTTGGACACTCTCCTTTCCCCACTGGGGCAGTTCGTGGCCCAAGTAGGGTTCCCACTCTATCTCTTCCCCGGCCAAGTCCCACTCCACAGTCTGTGGCCCTGGCAGCTCTGTCCCCCCTACTGCCCCCTGCTCTGGCTCCCTGAGGGTTTCCAGCCACCCAGGGCTGGGGCTGGAGGAGCAGCCGGGGCTGGGGGAGCAGCCGGGGCTGTGCGGAGCCGGGCCCTGGCTCTGTGCCCCGGCTGTGGGGGAAGGAGGAGGCTGCCTTGGCACAGTCGCCAGCCTGGCCCTGGCCCCCAGGCCCCTGCCTCCAGCCCCATCCCAGTTCCCTCCACCTCCTCTCCCTCCATGGCTGGCCATCACTTGGGGCTGTGTACAGGCCTGGGTACTCCATGGCAGGGGGGAGTTGGGGTTCACGTCCTCTGTGGGCATCTCCATCGGGCTCTGCCACAGAGGCTCTCAGGGGAGCGGCTTCCTCCTGACAGAGCGGCTCTCCTGGGACCGGGCACCCCAGGGCTCTGCGTCCCTTAGAGACACCTCTGGTCTCCCCAGGGCTCTGCCATGTCACAAAGGCCTCTGGGTGCCATCATGTCCTGCATCACCATGGGCCCTGGCACACACGCCTGTGTCACAAAGGGCCACACCTGACATCCCTTCAACAGCCGGCCCCAGTGGAAGCAGCACAGAGCAGCCACAGACTTGGCCCTTGTAGTCCCTGCTGTGCCCAGGCCCCTGTGAGGGGGACTTTCCTTAGAGACACTGGGCCAGGAGAGGCATTCACCGGCCTTCCAAAGATGCCAGTGCCAAATTCAGAGTTTTTGTCGGTTTTCATACAACAAAATGTTTTCCCGTTCCCTCAGTGTTACTGGGTGATGCTGTTTGCACACTAAGCAACAACTACAGAATTACGTGAACAGCCCCTCACATCTTTTCACGCAGTAAAGAACCCTTCTAATGTCATCTGTGGGCACTGGGCTTTGGCTACCAATGGGCCTGGCTTTCTCCCCCCAGAAAGAAAGATCACAGAATCTTTGTATCCAGGAGGCTGAGGCCTACTCACCTGGCTTGTGGCAGAATTACAAATCCCAATGAATAAAATTACCAGGCTGCCCCTCAGTACCCAATAACTGCAGGAAGACACCCCTTAAAGTGACACTTGGGGTTCTGGCATCAGCCTTCACATCCCTGTGGGAATAGCTACAGTGATCACAAAACCTTTCCTCTCCCTGCCCTGTGTCCTATTGAAGGGTGAATGCAAGCTGCCCTTTTCTTCCTGCTGCCTCCTCTTGTGTGGTGTTGCTGTTTTGTTTTGTTTATTGGGGGGAATTTTGGTGATTTTGGGGTTTGGTGGTTTTTTAGGGTGGATTTTCTTTTCTTGCTACTACTATTTCTTAAACCAAACTTTCATTGTTTTGGCTCTCTGTCCCTTCCTCTGGCACCTGCTCCTAGAAGACAGGAGAAGCCCTGTGCTCAACCCAGGCCTGTGAGGGACAGGCACTGGGAGTCGTCTTCTGCAAAAACTCCCAGTCTTTGCTCCCCATCTTCTTCTTCTTCACTCAGCTCAAAGAAGCTCAGTTTGTGCCGTGTTCTCTGCAGCAAGGGCTTGACCCCATTGCTGTGGACGCTCACGTGTTCCCAAGTGTCCTGAGCAAGCTCTTTGTCACCATCATTGTCTCAGCGGGACTGCACTGAGGGTCTGCTGCCATTGCCTTGGGACATCTCTTGGCCAGTGGAGCCATCCTCTTTGGAAAGCCCTTGGCCAACAGAGTCCTCCCAGTCAGACGGTTCTGGGGAGCTTCTGACTGCTCCTTGGGACAGCCCTTGCTCCATGCATTCTTCCCCATGGAAAATTCTTGGTAGCTAAGGGCTTCTCCCTGGGACAGCTCCTGCTCTCCTCATCCCAGTTGGTGAGTTACGGATATTCTCAGTTCAGTCAGAGAGAAAAGGAGAGTTTTCTACCAGGCTGGGCTTGGGAAAGAGTTTGAAAGGAATGTAAATAATTTACTATCTCTCTTGTTGTTCACATTGTTTATAGATATGTTCTGCCTACATGAGTCATTCAGACACTGCGCTCCAACGGTGTGAGATGATTTTACTTTAAGACCAATGAAATTGGTCTGCAAGATGTGCTCTATAAAAAGAGTGATGTATTTGAAATAAAGGATTTGAGTTCAGTCCTTCTAGCCTTCTGACTTGGAGTCTTCATTATCCCCGTCCTGCCTCAACAGCGACAGAGAGTTCTCCACAGCTACTGACGTCTCCTTGGGAGAGCTCTCACTCAAGAGATTCTTCCCAGTCAGTGATCTCTTGGCAGCTCCTAACATCTCCCAGTGGGGAAGGTTCATGATCCATGTCAGAGTCACGCTCTTTCTCCATGCTGACAATGGTCCCCTCCCCCTCAGTCCCTGACAGGGGCAGGACTGAGCCACCCACTGCCCTCACCAAGTGCCTGCTGAGGGCCTGGTGTTCGGCCAGCTGGGCAAGGGGCTGGGGGGCTGCAATTTGGGGTTTGCTTTGTCCTCTTCCATCTCTGTCGTGCTCTAGCACAGAGACATCCCAGGAGCTGCTTCCTCCCGAGAGAGGCCCCAGGGCTCTTGCATGGCTTCCCCCACGACACAGTGGATCCAGCTCTCCCTCAGCAGGTTTGCAGGGGATGGGAAGCTGAGCAGGGCAGGTGAATTGCTGCCTTCGCCACCTCTTTTACCTCAGTAGCTACAGGAGCACGGCGCTCCTGCTTCTGCTTTAATCACCCTGGCTCCCTCTTTGAGCAGCAAAGTAAAAGTGTGTTTTCCAGCAGGTTTGAGAATCTGATGTGGAGAGACTTGGTATCTTGGAGGATGATAAGAACGGCTTACATTAAGGAATTAATTAAATTGAGGGTTGCTACATAAATGGAGCAGGATGATGGCAACAATGTATCCATCATGAAGCTAAAACAATTCAAAAGGGAGCCTGTCTTAGAGTATATGTATATAACTGGGAAAAGAAGGAACTAGGAACTGTTTCATATGCAGAACAGTGACACCCTTGGGAAAACTGAAACATAGGGGGACAGCTCACATAACCACAGCTCTCCAAAGAATTAAGGGTTCATTAATAAAAACAAAAAGGTAAAATTTCCTCCATGTGAAGAAGTTGCTTGAATGCATGAAACTATTCTGTATATGGACAACATTTTTGCTAAGAGCTTGTGGATCACTGATGATCATTATGATGATGTGGCACAGTGCCAGGAGTTTGTTACAGAGCCACTCCCTCACCCTGATCAGTTAAGTGTCTTGAAACAGCTTAAGGAAGGGATGTGGTAAAGAAGTATCTTTGGACTGAGCTGCAACACACCAAAATCAAACCAAACCAAAACAAACAAGTAGTATACAGAAAGCAGAAGGAAAACCAGCCTAAAAAGGAAGAATTTTAAAACATTGCACCAGTGTGTTAGGATTAAAAAGTTCAATTGGAGCTCTAACTGGCAAGGAAAGATTTAGGGCAACAAGAATAGCAACAAGAACAGATGCAAGGACAACAGCAAAATCAACAAGGAAAACCTTTTTGCAGGCCTGGAATTGTGCCCTAGTGACAGGGAAATGGAGAGAGTTGGGAAGTCCAGTGCTGCCTTTGTCCTCACCAGCAAGACCCCCAAATCTCTGTGCCCAGAGGCAAGGTTCAAGAAAGACAGCAACCACCAGGAGTAGAAGATCAAGTTGTGAGGACACAGCTTCATGGCTTCATGAACCCAGAATAATTCCACACTGGATTTGACACCTCATTACTGGCTACATGGAATAAAGGAAGTTGCTGTGAGAATCTGAGATTATAAAAGGTCCAAAGGTACACATTCCAAACAGAACACTGACAGAAATGTTTATTCAAAGCACCTTAACACACCCTTTTACAAATAAAAATATTGCAGGCTTATCACACTAAATCATCTACTTTGAAATTGCATTTTTTGGGTCTTTTCCTTTAGTTATACCAAACTCCTCTGTTTCCTCTGGTTCATCCTCCGAAATCAATAATTTCTGTGGAGTAGAAGGAAAGACAGGACATAGAGATGCATTTTATTACAAAACACTGGAAAGTAATCCCAATAACCTAAAACATAACTCTAGAACTCTGCTGTCCACCTCAGTCCTCCTCACCCACTGCCTTGCAATGCCAATACTTGAAGTTGTTTACATTGTTTGTCAGCTGGCAGACAGACTCAGTACACCCACACTGACTGCCACCAGCCCATATCAAACTCTGAATAGCCAAAAAATGCCTCTTCATTAGATGATGTCACAAAGAATGCAGAATAAAAAAGAGGGATTTCTGTGTGGAAAAAGAATGATGGTAAAGGGGCAGGGAGTACCAGGCTGCAAAGAAAACAGATTTGGTTATATCTGCTCTTCACAGGATGCATATTTTCTTCAAATCATTCCCTTATCCTATAACTTAACCTTGCTAAACCTAAAGACAAGGGGCACAATATGTTGCCTCATTAATTATGGATGGAGACCTATGCTGAAAAATGTTTTAAATCATCCAACTCCTTGATTCTGGAAGTAAAGAGTTGGAGGGAACTTTGAATCAATCACTTTGCTGTGTTTTCAGGCATTGGCATCTGCCTCTGTGCCATATCAGACAGACACCTGGGCTCATTTGTTCTCAAAAACACACTAGAAAAGCCACTGGGAAAGCCAGAACTGCTTTGTTGTGGTGGGCCAGAAAATTTATTAGAATCAATTTCAGTCCAAATGGCTATTTGAGTCCAAGGGTCTTTGAGACAAACCAGGCTCAATGCAATTTGCCAAATCCAAAGCAGAGCTATGATCTACTGATATTTCTGATGGATTTGAGCCAAGCCCAGGGACCCTGTAAGATGTCAGTCCTACACACCAGGTCAGCCAGAGGCTTGTTCTGTCCTGAAGCTAGAGAACACCTTCAGAGCTGAAAATTAAAAGCAAATAAAACTGAAAACTACAAGAGCTGACCTACATGTTTAGTGTATACTTCCAGGCATTTTCATATGGTTTAAGAGATTTTATAATCCCTAAATACAGTGGTTGGCTTGGATTTATTGTAAAATGGGCTGATTAAAAAAGGATAAATTTATCTGATATTTTCATATCAGATAGGCAAGCTTGTAAATTTTAAGAATAAATACAAACTACACAATTGGTTGGAGGCCTATAAGCTAAATATGAGTAACCATAGATTCATCCCTGTTGCATCTTGTAACTGTGTATTTAAAACAGGCTTCTGAACTGCCTGGAAGAAAACCTGAGCACCAGAATTTCAAATCTCCTTGGTTTGTAGGAGAAACAAACCAACCAGAGACTAGTCAAACCAGAATGCATAACAACACCAAAAATGTGTTTCCTCATATTTGTTTTGCCTGCTTTTGAACTACAATTGTGAGAATTAAGAATACACAGTTGTATTCTTGAGAGAAAAGTAAAGTGCTCAGAACTCCCTGAACTTCTCAGGATCGTATTTTCTCTCATTTTTGTTAAAAAAAAAATTAGTTTGGAAATTCAATCTCTTCCAAATTCAGCTCTGCAAGTGCTGTCAAGTGTATATGCACAGAAGTATCACTTTTAATTTGCTCTGTAGCGGTATATGAATTTAACTTCTCACAGTTTACTTCTTCAGAGGACTGCCCTCCTTATGAAAGGCAGAGATTCCCATGGTCTCCCATCAACAGCATGGCTTCAGCTGATTGACATCCACAATTTCAAACCCTGATTGCTAGTGAAAGAATGAGCATGCATGCCCCATTTCTCACCTTGATCCTCCTGATCTTGATTTATTTCTTCCTCTCCCCTTCCCTCACCTTCCTCTCTCCTTTCCTCACCTTCCTCTCCTGCATCGCTTGCTGGGTGATCTTCACCCTCCTCAGTGACTGAAACATAAGAAATTAGAAATAGCAAAGAAAACCAATTTTAGAAATTTGCATTCAGTCTTTGTTTTCATGTAATAGCTCTTAACTCCTACTAAAGGCTGCAGTTGTTATTCACATGAGAAATCCCACAAAATCTTCTCTGTTTATAATCAAGTTGGTATAACAAGCCATGATATAGAGTCAAATAACTCACAGGCTTCCCAAGACAGCTGTATCTCATGCTATGTGAAATAAAACAGATACATACATATTGTGCAGTTTATGAACGGACTCTGAAGTTCCAAACATCCAATACATGGAAAATCATACAAAAACCAAAACAAAACTCAAAAACCCTCTCACATCACATGATATTAAACCTGTAAAACAACGGTCATCATACTCAAATCATGGAGGTTCCAGATGTTTCCAGAACTAACCTATAACTGATGGAATTTTCTCCTCTTCAGCTACTGTACCTGCTGCTTCTCTGGGGATTAGTAATTCCTCATCATGGGGAGACCAGGGTGTCAATTTGGTAATTTCAGATGCTTTCCATATTGGTTCAAGAGGTAATGGGGGTTCATCTTCTTCATCCTCATCTTTTTCCTAGAAGACAATTCATGAAATCCAGTATCTCACCCTAAAGACAGTAACTAAGATGATGGGTTAGTCTACTAAAACTTCCTCATCTGGGATCAAAATAGCAGTGAAAGTATTTACAGGTGGAGGAACTTCAGCACCTGCAAATCTTGGACAAGAACTACACTTTGAATCCTGATCAAGTCTGTTGGCCATCACTGATGATTGATACCTGATGCTCTGTCTGATAGATGCTGCACTGTCTGTCTCTCACAGAAGCAGAATGAAAAAACAGCTGTTTCTGCCTCAATCTTTGCCTAGGGAGGACATTTGAAAGGATCTAGGAAGGAGTAAGGTGGTGCACAGGGCTAATGGTTTTGAAATGTGAAAATATTTTTTAAATTTAAAAAATCATGGTTTTTTCTACAAATATGAAGGAGTCAATAATTTAATAATTGTCTGTATTATTAGCTATTTTTTTTAATGGGCTTTGTTCTGTAATTACTTCAGCTAAAGAAAAAGGGCCAAATTTAATCTTACTTTAGTGACAGGACTGTCCTTGCTTTAAAACGTCATCTAAGAATTCCCAGCTGAACTAAGGAAACACACATTACTCTGGATCCTCCTAGGGATCCAATACTTAATTTGAGGATCTCCTGCTTTTAGCCAGAAAAAAGCAAAACAGTCTCCAAGCACTGCATATCTCTATCACAACTGATAGGATTTTGATGATTATTATTTTATTCTTCAGAATAATTGCTGCATCAGAGTTTTCAAAGAGTGTGTAACAGGAACTAATGTGTCAGACAATAGAGGTAGCAAACTCTAAGCTAAAATGTGGCAATTAAAAAAAAAATCAAACAGTAATATTAAAATATATTTCTTACTTCTGTAGCTATTTTTGCACCATAGCAAACGCATATGTTTCAAAACATTCATGCATAGAGAAGTGAAGACAGGCTTTGATCCCAACCACTTCCTACAATTATTAGAAGCTGTGGATATTAAGCTCTTAACATGACCAGAACAACAACTGGACATATTTCCCAAACATGACCCTGCTGGAAATAACCATTTGTATCATAGCACCAAGTAATACAGAAACACAAAAAATATTGCTCATTATTTTCTGGTGTTCAGAAGAAAATCCAATAGAGTATACAAATGTGTATACAAAATGTATATACAAAGATATCTATATTCCTCTGTGATTTGAAGCTTCAAATGTTTTGGGAAGATCCTGATTCTTTTTAAGTGGAAAGGATTCATGTCTGCAAGTAGTGCAAAATCACACCTTGTACTTTTCAAAGCTTACACAGTAGAAAACATTTTTAGAAAAGCAAAATGAAACATCATTTAGTTCTTAAGAATGCATGAGTTTTCACTCTTTTTGACTCATAAGATCTACTTTAACATCACTGTCTGGAAGGCATTTTATATATTCCTCCACAATAGATTTGATTTGCTGAGTGCTCTTGCACTATTTCTTTTACCTCCACTGGTTGTATGTATTCACCATGCTGCTCACATCCAATATCAAAGATGAATTTGCCACGACCTAAAGGCTGCATAAAAACACAAAAACATCAGAACTGAACAGCTAATCCATTCTAAACACAGAAATGTAAAATATCCTTCACTACAAATCCCATACAATAGTCAGTAACACTGCAGTTTGAAAGCAACGTTGCAAAGAAACTTGGCATTGTGTTTATAGATTAATTCAGTTTCATGTGTTACACTTAGGGTATAGGAAATACTACAAAAGATCAGAAGCCTAGCTTCTTATTTTAATTGGAAATAGGTCATACTAAGGCAATTCAGATTAACAGAAAGCACACCTACCTTTCCATTGAGAAACCTGCCCTTAAATCTGTGGTTTAGGTGGACAAGTTCAGCTGGTCCATCCTGGATTCCATTTACCCAACAACCAACATACTTAGATCCTGTGTCTTTATAGACATATGTGCCTTGCCCATGCCTAGGGAGAAAATAGTAATTTTGTTTTATACCAGTGAATATTAAGAATATAGGCTGTTGTTATAATTAAGGTATTAAAACTGTATTAATTAAGCAGCTGAAACTACTCAAGCTGCACTAAATTGCCAAGGTCACCCCTGGACCTCATTTGCTGCAGTCAGACATGCTCTGAAAATAATGTTTGCATTTTAATGCCATTGGGTGACCTGAAACATCCCTGTGAGAATGAAACAAACCTCTTGTTGTTAGCCCATTCTCCAGTATAGGTGTCTCCATTTGCATACAGATATTCTCCATAGCCCTGTCTCTGGTCATCCACCCAGTCTCCTTCAAGGACAAAAGGATAAAAGCAGTGTGAGAATTGGTTTATTTCACTGTGGGATACCGTGGCCAGTTTGTAACATTATCATATAAGTATTAGAGAAGGAAAAGAAAGCTATGGCACTGCTGGGACTCCTCACTACTCCTTACTCTAGAGTCCCTTGCTCTTTTTTCATCAGTCTGTTCCTTTCCACATGTATTTATGCCTGACCTCCCTTTCCATTTTTCCATAATTATCTGTCTCCATTATCACTCTCTATTACCATTACGAACACATAAAAACCCAGTCCTATCTTTGAATTGGGTAATGTATTAGAGTTGCATTAGATAATATGACATTTCCACACAAATTTAAAGAGGAGCTACTTTAAATTGACTCATTTGCTGAAGTTGTCCTGTCACTATTGGGGCACATCTATTCAGAAGGCTGCAAGATGGTTTCTATCTTAATTATTCTTCTAATCAAACGTATAACAATTTTCAAAAACCCCCAAAAAACTCAGTGCATATGTTCCTGCAAGGCAAGATTGGGCTGCTCTTTTCGCCATCACAATGTGAATGTCTTTTCTTTCCTAGCTTAGAAATGAGGGGTGAAATAATGTCCTTTGAAACTTAACTGATAGATTCTGATTTTCTCAGGTACTCTCCAGCAAGCAGGGGAACTCTAAATTTCATTACTTCTTCAAAGTTCAGGTGTCCCCATCCCTAAATAAGGGCTCTATTAAGAAGCCTATTTTTTTAAAATGATAGACCTAATAAGTGTCCTAACATAAATCCCCATAAATAAACCCCAGGCTTCTCAGTACTGCTACTAAAAAGGGAATAAGAGGAAAACATCTTGTAGCAATGTATCTTGGAAAATATCTTGTATCTTCTTAAGATAAATCATTCTTCAATTCACTCTCTCTTTTCATTTGTGGGGGGAGGAGGAGCGAGGGGGGAATGTGTCCTTTTGACTACAATTGTGTTCATTGCTTTACCTTCATATTTTGATCCATCTGGATAAAAAAAGACACCTTTGCCATGCTTTTTGTTTTGAAGGTAGTTCCCGGTATAGAAAGCACCGTTTTTAAACCTGTAGGTCCCCTGAAACACATTTGGTACAGATGAAATACCCGTCAGTTCTCACGCTTGTTTCAACACAGAGCCCAAACAGCACAACTGCAGAAGCAGAACCACAGCCAGGCTCGGTGCCTTACCTGTCCACTCCTCAAACCATGCTCGTATTCCCCTTCGTAGGTGTCACCATTGGGCAGCCGCGCCTTGCCAAAGCCGTGCCGCTGCCCTTCGTCATCGCGATCGCCTTCGTACTCCTGCCAAAGGCGGAGGGAAAGGCGTTCAAGGGCTGCCAGAGCCCGGCCCCACGGAGGGAAACGGGCGCTGGGGGAAAGCTGCTGCAGCTCGCCCGCAGAGCCCGGCACCCGCAGCCTGCCTGGCACACGGCTGCGAGGCGTGGATGCGCTGTTCCCAGCCCTGCCAGCAGCCTGCGGGGGCACCTGCAGCGATACCTGCAATGGCACCTGCAATGGCACCTGCACTGATACCTGCAGCGGCACCTGCAATGGCACCTGCAATGGCACCTGCAGCGGCAAGTGCAGTGAGACCTGCAGTGGCGCCTGAAGTGATACCTGCAGCGGCACCTGCAGTACCACCTGCAATGGCACCTGCAGTTAGACCTGCAGTGAGACCTGCAGTGGCACCTGCAGTACCACCTGCAATGGCACCTGCAGTGAGACCTGCAGTGGCGCCTGAAGTGATACCTGCAGCGGCACCTGCAATGGCACCTGCAGTGAGATCTGCAGTGACACCTGCAGTGGCGCCTGAAGTGAGACCTGCAGTGACACCTGTAGGGACACCTGCAGCGGCACCTGCAATACCACCTGCAATGGGACCTGCAGCGGCACCTGCAGTGATACTTGCAGCGGCGCCTGCAGTGATACCTGCGGCAGCGCCTGCAGTGACGCCTGCAGCGGCACCTGCAGCGGCACAGCCGCGCTCCGTGCCGGGGCTGCCCACGGCAACTCTGCCCGGCCCGGCGGGCACTGAGCGGGGCTGGTCCCTTTCCCTGTCCCTTTTTCCCTTTCCCTTCCCTTTCCCTTTTTCCCTGTCCCGCTCCTCCCGGGCCCCGCGGACCCCGATGCCTTCCACGGCCTCGTCGGCGTCCTCGGAGCCCAGATCCGACATGGCCGCGGCGCCGCCGTCGCTGTGACAACCGAGCGGGCCCGGCCCTCAGCGCGGCCCTCAGCCCGGCCCGGCCCCTCAGCGCGGCCCGGCCCCTCAGCGCGGCCCGGCACCGGGAAATACAAATAAATAAACTCTCCGCTGTTTGTTAAAAGGCGGCATTAATGATTCAGGGTTAAAGGAGCGCGGCTCCCCGCAATATGCATGCCAGTCATCAAAAGGCTTATCTATCTATGCATTTCGGCAATGAGATTAATGTTAATTAGCTTACAATTCACATCGTTCTCTTCATTAATTAGTATTCTGTCTTCTATTCAGTATTGATTTCTCACTTCTCATCCTAATTAATTCACATTTTGCGGTCTTTTTGTTATCTTTTCCCAGATAGGGCATATCTGCTTTATGTAATGTGTTTTATAAATTCTGTTCAGTTCTCAACAATAAATTGTGCACAGGTGGGATCCGTCTCTTCCATCGGGCAGCACTGACAGAACAAGAGGACACAGTCTCGAGCTATATCAGGGAAGGTACAGGTTGGATATTAGGAAAAAATTTTTCGCTGAAAGAATAATAAAGTACTGGAATTGTCTTCCCAGGGAGGTGGCCAAATCACCATCTCTGGATGTGTTTAAAAAGAGATTGGACATGGCATTTGGTGCTATAGTCTAGTTGAGGTGTTAGGGCATAGGTTGGACTTAGAGGTCTTTTCCAACCTCATTATTCTGTGATTTTGTGATTCTGTGAAATTGCCCTCCCAGGCTCTGCAAACTTCCTTCTCCAGGTCTGAGAGCACAAAGTATGTCAAGCCCTAAACTCTTAATTGCTTTTTCTAACACATGGACGTCACCCAGAGTTTGCCCATCAACCATTAACTGTATCACAGGTCAAAAATCTTCTCAACATTTCCCACTACTGCTGCACAGGCTCATTTCAAAACAGTGCCAGACTCTATTCAGTGGTGCCCAGCATCAGGATGAGGAGTAATGGCCATGAAATAAACCACAAGAAGTTCCACCTCAACATAGGGAAGAATTTCTTTACATGGAGGTGGCAGAGCTCTGGAACAACTGGCAAGGGAGGACACTCTGGAGACATTCCAGACCCACCTGGATGTTCCTCTGTCACTGCTCTGGGTGACCCTGCCTTGGCAGGGAGTTGGACTGGGTGATCTCCAGAGGTCACTCCAACCCTCTGCCTCTCCCCCTCGGCTTTTCCCAGCCAGTGCCTTTTGTGTGTTGAAACTGGTGACATCTGGGATGGGACCTGAGACCCCCTCAGTCTTCTGAGAGCTCCCAGCAGTTCAGCTGGTCTGGCCTGAAAACAACATTTCAGATTTTAAACCCATTCCTCCACCTGGGTTCTTTCATTTCTGGTTTACTGATGTTCACAAATACCAGTACACTATTGTAAATGCAGGTGCACCTGGTAGGAAGAAATGATGATGTCTGACTCCAGTTCAGAAGGCTGAATGATTTCTTTATTATAATTATACTATAATACATTAATATACTATTTAAAGGAGATGCTAAAACTCCATACCTACTTTTTCTAACTCCCTCACAACTCATGATCCTCTCATGAGAGTCCAGCCACAGGTGGGTTGGATTGGCCATCAGGCTCAAACAATCTTCATCAGAATCCAACCAAGCAATCAGCCCAGGTAAACAATTCTCCAAACACATTCCACATGGAAAAAACAAGGAGCAGAAATAGAAATTGTTTTCTCTTTCTTCCCTCTGAGCTCCTCTATGAAAAAGTCCTGAGAGAGAGAAGAATGTGCCTGCCACGGTACACTTTTTGTTTTCTCTCATACAGGAGTCAGGAAAACCACCTTACCATCACTTTGCATAGTAATTTAATGGCCAAGGATTCACAAGAGGAGCCAGGCAAGGAAGGATATGCTTGGTGAAAAGCAGTGAGCTAGACAAGCACTGGGCAAAGCAGGTGATGCTTCTGAGGTAGACAGGATTGGCAAGTGGCTGGAAAATGGGTGGTGGTCACCCTATGCCCTAAATCACAGCTCCACCACACAAACCAGAATAAAAACAGGGTCATCACTATATAAAGATACGCCATATTCAGGTGGGTTTCTTCCTTTTCATCGGTAGGAATTTAAATAGCCAGTATTTAAATAATGTATGAATAAGTTGTCACTTCTGTGGCAAGTCTCTTTTTGTCTTCAGTTGGGTAAAGATGAAAAAGGAAGAGACTATTGCTAAATACCTCTGTGTTCATAGGAAACCTTCCAGCTTTTGAGTTAACGTCCAGTTACTCATTTGAGAGCACTTTGCCTTTGAAGCAGGTAAGAATGCTGAAATTAAATTTTGTTAGCTGTAAAAGCATTGCACACTTATTGACTCCAAACTGGATAGTTATTTCTCTTTCCTGCACACTCCCAGCATTTGACTAGGGAAGCCTAATTTGCATAATGTACTGTTAATAAGCAATTGCATAATATGCAAACTACTGCTCTGCTCATCTCCTGCAGAGCTGGCATGAGTGCACATCTTGATGATGCCTCTGTTTCTCCCTTGCACCTAAGATTGGCTAAATTCTTTTAACTATGATAAGGTAATGTCTCTAATTATAAAAGTGCTCACTTGGTCTGTCATGGTAAATTAATTCTAAGCAGCCACTGAGGCTCAGAGTGACAAGGGAATTAATGCTGGGAACCATAGGGAGGTGCTCCCTGCTAAACTCGATGACAACAATAACCAGACGTGTCTTTTGGCCTGGAAGGTGACGTGGCTCAGGGAACAGCTGTGACACAAACAGGAAGCAGGGACAAGACATCAGTGACAAGACATCAGAGCCACTCCCCTGGATGACCACTAAAAATGATCATTAACTGCTCTTGCTTATTGTTTCAGAGTTCTGAAGAAGGAAAAGGGTCTGAAGCAGCTCAGTTTTCTGGAGAAGCACTAAGAACTCTTTCCTTATAGAAGTTAAACTGCTCAGCACCCAGAAGTGACAGATAGAATAAATGTTTTTACAACAGGATCATTTTATTTAAATGAGGGAGGCATCATTTAAAGTTTTCTATAAGAAACTGTCTTGTGAGGACATCTACAGCTTCTATATAATTAATGACATGAAGAATTTATTTTGTAGTTTTTTGTCTTCTAGTTGAATTTGGATGTATTTCAATGTCAGATTAAAAATAAGCTTCAGGTGCATCACTGTTGAAAGGAGGTCTGCTATCATCCTTATTTTCCTGTTCTTTTCCCTTTTCTGTCAGAGAACCAATATTCCTAAGATCCTGCTGATCTTGTAGACAAATTTCATTTGTCCAAAGTCCTGAGAGGGTAATTTGTGCTCATTACCTGCTCTGTCCTTGCTGCTGGCTGAGCTGGCAGCTGCCAGCACTGCCTGCCAGTCACCCTGGCAGGGACAGCAGAAACTGCCACAGCTGTGAGTGGCCCCGAGGAAGCTCCTGGTTTGAATTTGACAGAAGCACCACAGGGAGTCAGAGCTCCACTAAAATTCAGAGCCATTGCTGCCAGAGGTGCTTAAAAACAGAGGGAAGGAACAACAACACAGGGAAGGAAAAGGCTCCTGGAATGATGATGTCTGAAGGTGCCTCCTGTGGGAGAGGACAGCCCTGAATGTCCTTTTATCCTGCCTTGCAGGTCCTCACTTTGATTTTAAGCTCCTCTTTTGGTTTTCAGCTCCTGTGCAGAGAGAAATGGCCAAAAAGCACTTTTAAGGCCAGTTATGCTCCTGTTACTCCTTGGACTTTACTCTCTCTTAGGAGAGGGAGACTTTTACAATTCAGGGATTTTGCAGGGAAAATTCTGCTGTGCCAGGCCTGTGAAACAACCTGAACACTTCCTTCCAGCACTGACCAAGCTCTGAAAACACACAATGGACATTCAAAACCACAGGACTATTTGTTGACCTCTATGTTACACTCAGTGTCCTGCTTCAAAGGAGTGATAAAAATACAGCAGGGTATTGTAAATCCAGGCAAACCCAATGGGAAGAAATGATGATGTCTGACTCAGTTCAGAAGGCTGAATGATTCCTTTATTATAACTATGTTAAATACATTATTATAATATATAAAAAGGAAGAGACTAAAACTACATACTACTTTCTCTAACTCTAACACAGCTCCTGACCCTCTCACCAGAGCCCAGCCCCAGGTGGGTTGGATTGGCCATCAGGCTCAAACAATCCTCACCAGAACCCAATCAAGCACTCACTCCAAGTAAACAATTCTCCAAACACATTCCACATAGGAAAAACAAGGAGCAGAAATAGAAATCGTTTTCTCTTTCATTTCTCTCTGTGCACCTCTATGAAAAAACCTGAGAGGGAGAGAAATGTGCTGCCACAGCAGGGTGCACACACAGCCTCTGATGTGGTAAAGGCTGCATGCTGCTTAATTCCCACTCGGTGCATTTGGGAATTCCTGCCCTCCAGGAGCTCACTGTTCTCTGCCCCTGTCCTACCATGCTTCCTTCTTCCAGGGGCAGTGCCTCTGCTCCAGCTTTTCTCCACCCTGCCAGCAGTGGGGCTTTAGGGAGCTGCCTTTTCATCTTCTGCCATCAAAATTAACAGGATGAGTGGAGATAATTTGCCTGACTCACAGGTTGGTTTCCTCACTTCACACATTACTCAACTACTCCTGACAGAGTTGGTGACTCTGGGAGGGTCAGTCCTTGGCACTGAAGTCAGTTTGAGTTTTGCTCTGGGCTCAATTAGAGATGCAGGTGATCCTTCATTGCTTTTGGTAAGACAGACCTGGCAGGATAATGTCTTTTGACAAGACTTTAAAGAACAGAAATCTTCAAGAAATTTTTTTTTTCCCTCTTAGAAGACAGTAATTTCCATCTTTATATATAAAGAGTAATGTATGTGTAATGTATGGCTGGTAACAGGTATTAACAAAGTGTAATGTATGGCTGGTAACAGGTATTAACAAAGTGTCAACAGGAGCTGTCAGGAAAAACTTAATGAAATGAGATCCGTTCCTCCTGACACTTAAATATAAACCAGATTGTTTTCAACAGCCTTTTTGGAGGAAAAATGTGGGATTAGGGAATTGA